CTGTGTGTCCTCAATGCTTCTGTAAGCATGTGCCATGTGTCCTCAGTGCTTCTCTAAGCATCTGCCGTGTGTCCTCAATGCCTCTCTGAGTGTGTGCCGTGTGTTCTCAGTGCTTCTCTGAGTATGTGCCGTGTGTCCTCAGTTGTTCTCTGAGCATATGCCATGTGTCCTCGATGCTTCTCTGAGTATGTGCCGTGTATCCTCAGTGCTTCTCTGAACATGTGCCGTGTGTCCTCGAGGCTTCTCTGAGTATGTGCCGTGTGTTCTCAGTGCTTCTCTGAGTATGTGCCGTGTGTTCTCAGTGCTTCTCTGAGTATGTGCCGTGTGTCTTTAGTTCTTCTCTGAGCATGTGCCGTGTGTCTTTAGTTCTTCTCTGAGCATGTGCCGTGTGCCCCTAATGCTTCTTTATGAACATGTGCCCTCAGTGCTTCTCTATGAGCATGTGCCATGTGTCCTCGATGCTTCTTCAAGTATCCGCCGTGTGTCCTCGATGCTTCTCTCAGTATGTGCCGTGTGTCCTCAGTGCTTCCCTATGCGTATGTGCCGTGTGTCATCAGTGCTTCTCTGAGTATGCATCGTGTGTCCTCGATGTTTCTCTGAGTATGTGCCGTGTGTCCTCAGTGCTTCTCTATGAGTATGTGCCGTGTGTCCTCGGTGCTTCTCTTTGAGCATGTGCCGTGTGTTCTCTATGAGCATGTACCAAGTATCCTCAATGCTTCTCTGAGCATGTGGTGTGCGTCCTTGATGCTTCTCTGAGAATGTGCTGTGTATCCTTAGTGCTTCTTTGTGAATATGTGCTGCGTGTGCTCAATGCTTCTTTATGAGCATGTGCTTCACTGAGAAGAATTTGATTAGATTACATCAGGATTGATGACTTCATCTAAGGAGTGTCGGGCTGTCCTGTTGCTGGAATAAAGGTAGTTAAATGGTAATTTAAGCAGTAAAATAAAATATCCATATTATATATATATTTCTTTTAATTAGAAGTTCGTTTAATGATCTCCCTAACTCAAACCCATTGAGAATAAAAGCTGCAGGTTTCTTTTTCTTCTGAAATTGTATAAATTTACATCTGTCTAAATTAAAGATCATCTGTCACTTGCCTTGCCCAGTCCCCAAGTTTGTTAAAACTGCTTTGAAGATAAGTAACGTTTTTTTTCTAATTATATTATCATATCTAATTGTGCCATCTGAAAAATAAGGAAACAACAGTTTCAAAGCACTCTGCAAGATCATTACGGAACAAATTAAAGAAAAGAGGACAGAACCCTAGAGTCCTCTACTTACCACTTTTGTCCTATGTTATCATTTTTCACTAACAGATCCACACTCTGTTCTTCAGACAGTTTTGAATCTAGTTACAAGCATTTTCCCCAAAGCCGATATCTTTCAGTTTGTAGAGTATCCTTTCACAAGGTGATGAGCCATTAGCAAACACTTTAGCAAAAAAAAAAAAAAAAATTAGATTACATCTACTGCAACACCTTGATCTGGATTCATACTCCTCAAATTAGGTTGGTTTGGCAAATCTGGTTTTAACGAACCAACTTTGACTCCTACTAATGATCTCATAATTGCATTTCTGATTTTTTTTAAAACCAGGGCAATATGTACACATTGATCTTGTGTTCACGTTTGTCTCGGATTCACAAACTATACAGTGACAAGGTTGAAAATGTAAACCTTACATATAATCAGTCTTTGCACAATAGCAGTTATTACGGATAAGGTTACAATTTACTTGCAGAGAGCTAGAGTTTTGGAGAGATTTAAAATAGAAAAACAAATCTGTTATGTTTTTTTGGAAGGGTTTTCCTTTTGCAGAACTCTGTAGAAGAAGGCTTCTATTTCTGCTTACCGTATATATTCGAGTATAAGTCAACCCGAATATAAGTTGAGACCCCTAATTTTACCCCCCAAAAACTTATTGACTCGAGTATAAGCCTAGGGTGGGAAATGCAGCAGCTACTGGTAAATTTCTAAATAAAATTAGATCCCCAAAAATTACATTAATTGAATATTTATTTACAGTGTGTGTATATAATGAATGCAGTGTGTGTGTGTATATAATGCAGTGTGTGTAGTGTGTGTGTATATAAAGCAGAGTGTGTGTGTGTATATAATGTAGTGTGTGTGTATATAAAGCAGAGTGTGTGTGTGTGTATATAATGTAGTGTGTGTGTATATAATGCAGAGTATGTGTGTGTATGAATGCAGTGTGTGTAGTGTGTGTATGAATGTAGTGTGTGTGTATATAATGCAGTGTGTGTGTAGTGTGTATGAATGCAGTGTGTGTATGTATGAGTGCAGTGTGTATGAATGCTGTGTGTGTGTGTGTATATGATGCAGAGTGTGTAACCTTGGTGGGGGGGTGGGCATTTTTATTATTTTTTTAATTATTATTATTATTATTATTATTTTAATATAAAATTTTGTGTTTTTTTAATATTATTAATTTTTTTATTATATTATTATTTAAATTTGTATTTATATTTTTTTGTCCCCCTCCCCCTGCTTGTTAGCTGGCCAGGGAGGGGGGCTCTCATTCCCTGGTGGTCCAGTGGCATGGGCTGTGTAGGAGGGGGCTGGCAGAGAGCTGTTACTTACCTTTCCTGCAGCTCCTGTCAGCTCCCTTCACCTCCGTGCCGGTCAGCTCCCTTCTCCTCCACTGTAAGTCTCGCGGTCTATGTGCCGCTCTCGTGAGATTTACAGTGGAGGAGAAGGGAGCTGACCGGAACGCAGGAGAGAGAAGGGAGCTGACAGGAGCTGCAGGAAAGGTAAGTTACAGCTCTCTTCCAGCCCCAAACAGGACCGCCGGGCTCTGTATTATGGCAATGTAAGTCACAGACAGTGACTCGAGTATAAGACGAGTGGGGGTTTTTCAGCACAAAAAATGTGCAGAAAAACTTGTCTTATACTCGAGTATATACGGTAATTATTCCTTGAGTAAGGCTGGAGTAGACAGGAAGCTGTAGGAGTCTTGGTGAGCTGGAAAGGAACATTCTGTTCAGGTAGTGCAGGGACTTTTCAGAGAAATGGTGAAAGATGAATGGTGAATTTGAGTGTGTCCATGGGTGCATCAATTGTATTGGTTATTCCCAATATTCTATATCTAGAGTAACTCCTATGTCCAGTCTCAGGATCGTGGATCCTTTTCATCCTAAATGTTAATGTAAGTTTATGTTAATACCAGAACTTTTTTTTTTTATTCTAGTATATGAGATCATATTTTTCCCTTTAGAGGGGCACTATGGTCGACCTTATGGGTGTGCGAGCTGTCTGCCTGTAACTGTGTGTGACTGTCTGCTCTTACTGTGTGTGACTGTCTGCCTGTAACTGTATATGTGTGTGTGTGTGTGTGACTGTTTGCTTGTGACTCTGTGTAACTCTGTGTGTTAGACTGTGTGCAAGTGACTGTGCACATTGCTGTATTTGATAGTATGTGTGCATATAACTGTGTGTCTGACGGGGTGCAAAAATACACACCTGCATTCACACATGGGCTTACATGCATTAAAAAAAAAAGGGAATTAAATTCCCATAACAAATATCACACACAGGCAATACACCCATAACAAATATCACACACATTCAATACACCCATAACAAATATCACACACAGGCAATACACCCATAACAAATATCACACACAGACAATACACCCATAACAAATATCACACACAGACAATACACCCATAACAAATATCACACACAGGCAATACACCCATAACAAATATCACACACAGGCAATACACCCATAACAAATATCACCACGCGGGCAATACACCCATAACAAATATCACACGCAGGCAATACACCCACAACAAATATATCACACCCGCGGGCAATACATCCATAACAAATATCGCACACGGGTAAGCCATCCCATAACCGATATCACACACAGGCAATACGCCGCAACAAATATCACACACATTCAATACACCCGCCAACAAACATCACACACAGGCAGTACACCCATAACAAATATCACACACAGGCAATACACCCATAACAAATATCACACACATTCAATACACCCATAACAAATATCACACACAGACAATACACCCATAACAAATATCACACACAGGCAATACACCCATAACAAATATCACACGCAGGCAATACACCCATAACAAATATCACACACAGGCAATACACCCATAACAAATATCACACACAGGCAATACACCCATAACAAATATCACACACGGACTATACACCCATAACAAATATCACACACGGGCTATACACCCATAACAAATATCACACGCAGGCAATACACCCATAACAAATATCACACGCAGGCAATACACCCATAACAAATATCACACACAGGCAATACACCCATAACAAATATCACACACAGGCAATACACCCATAACAAATATCACACACAGGCAATACACCAATAACAAATATCACACGCAGGCAATACACCCATAACAAATATCACACACAGGCAATACACCCATAACAAATATCACACACGGGCAATACACCCATAACAAATATCACACACAGACAATACACCCATAACAAATATCACACACAGGCAATACACCCATAACAAATATCACACACAGGCAATACACCCATAACAAATATCACACACTGTGGCACGTTTCTTATTATTTATTTCTTGATTGGGACACTATACCTAACCACATTTTTTCTGATCTTGTGTTCGGTTCACTGAGTCACTAAGTTAAATTTTTCTTTAGTTTATACCCAATAGGGCACAATGAGATGATGGTGTGATTACATAGGATTCTAGATATTTGGGGCCTAGAAAGTGAAGTCTATGTGGTTTTTTTTTAGTTTTTTTTTTAGATTTGTCCTAGTGCATTTTATTTAGTACCCTACATGAGGGAACATTTTAGGGTTGTCATCTGAATATATTTACTCTGAAAAGCATGTTTATTTTTTACATAAAAATTATTGTTTGATAAAAGTCATCGGTAGTTTCCATTCCAGGTTTTTAAAAGGTCATTAAAGGTTTGTTTTGAATAAATGAAAAATGCAGTACTTAAAAGGCTCAGAAGAGGGGGCAGAGCCTGACCGCCAAGGCGACTCGACACATGGTGAACGAGCTCCATGACTTTTGTGAGATTTCTCGGCTGGAATCTTGAGCCTCATTTCGCCCCACAGTGTACTGTTTGCACTGGAGACACTTTGACTTATCCGGAGAGTCCACTCTGAGGTGTGCATCTGTGGCCTACAAGCATCTGTGCCGAAGTGAGGCGGCCGCTCTTCCCGCTCAACAGCCTTCTGTCTGAACTCACCTTGCTCATAGCCCCCTGCCCCCTCTGGTCTGGCGGGGGTTATACCGAAACCCACTGGGCTAATAAACACAAAAAGCACTATCCTACTTACAATTCCCACGCTCTGAAGAGACTGCTCCACACACAATAGCCGAGACAACTCTTCCTGGGCTGCGGAGCCTGACGTAGTGCAGCTCACAAGATCATTACACTCACATACTCTTGTGGTTTTAGGCAATCTTTGAGCAATTGTGGGCCTAACTGGAGAAGCGTATAACAGCAACATATTATTTACCACCTGAAAGAGACCGGAGGAGCTGGGACACAAGCAAGCGACGAGTGCGGAGACACACTCAAACCCGGGTCTCACGACATAGCCGATTGCATTGACCAAAGCCTGCTTTGAATAGTGTACCTGCTGCAAGATTGCGGTTGCGGAGGAATACGGGAAGGAGACCTCACAGCCGGAAGACAGATACCCAGCTCACTTGCTAGTCGTCACCCCTCACGTAGCCCACACCCTCAGGAAGTCCTAGACCTGAAGGAGAAACAACTGCCAGGCGGGGGTCCCGGGGAGCACACATTTGTGCCTGTGGTTGCTGCCCTTTATTACCCTCCAGCTTCCTTTAAACCCCTTAAGGACACATGACATGTGTGACATGTCATGATTCCCTTTTATTCCAGAAGTTTGGTCCTTAAGAGGTTAAAGACCTCCCAATATCGGGAATCAGATGACTGTGGCCACCAGCTAGAGGCCACCAGAGATGACTAGAGGCCACCAGCTTGTACTAATGTTTTATTTGCTTTCGACCTGTTGTCTTTTATCTTTATTTTCCTTTCAAAATGGTGGCTTTATAGAAATGGTACTCAGCCTCAGTGGTAATTTTAACAAGTTTGCAACCAAAGGCCTAAGCTATTATTGATAATATTTATACTTGATAATATGATACTAACATAGCTAACATGTTTATTACGTTTCACCCTTTATGTTTTCTTAATTGCATAGAATCCTACCTACATGTCTATTTGTCTCTACCTATATTTTACCTTATCTGACACAACTTTAGGCATGTTACTCTCACCTGTTTAACTTAAAATTATAACATTGTGCAGCCCCACAGAATGCCATGCATGTATTAGTGCTATATACTCATTTATATCTGTTTCATCGCTGTAGTGGCGTTCATTGCTTGAGTGTGTAAATTTCATGCACGTCAAAAATAAAGAATATAAAATAATTTTTAAAAAAGGCTCAGAAACATTCATGAAAACAACGCAAAATGTGAATAGTTTATGTTGTGCATCATAAAACAAACTAAAGGGACGTATCTGTGTTCTTCATAAAAATAATTATACAGTCTTCTGTCAACAGATAAATGCCTCAAGCGAAGTCTGTTATGACTATTTTAATGATCCTGCTTAAAATATTACAGAAACAAGAGTTGAGCAGAATTAGAGCTTAATGGGCAATTTTGAAATGAGCTTGACTTTCTCTGTTCCAAGCCCCTCAGAATTGTGTTTGTGAATTAGTTTCGTTTTTCATACAGCCGATGTAGGTTATTTGAACTTAGCTTTTCAATAGATGATTTAGGCTGAAGTTGAGTCTTTATTTTGTTCCTGCATAATGAGGGTATCAAATAAAAATACACACAATTAAAATAAATAATCTCCCTATAAAACTTCTACGTTTATATACAACATACTGTAAAATGCTCATGTTGATAGAAACAAGGAAGTATCTGAACAATTTCAGCTAATCATTGTTGTCCAGTGCAACCATGTGGAAGTAGCCCCCAACATGCTTGCTTGTGCGTTACCTTGCAATGCTTTCCTATAGAAGGTCTTGAACACTACCGCAAGTAATTACATTGATTCCAGTGCTTTGGCCTCAGGACTACGCCTGCAAATAATATGAAATTTAAAGGGACACAGTAGTCATTAAAACAACTTTAGCTCAATGAGGCACTTTTTGTGTATAGATCATGTCTGTGAAGTTTCACTGTTCAGTTCACTGCCATTTAGGAGTTAAATCACTGTTGTTTCTGATTTTATCTCCGACTCTGCAAAACGAACTTTAATGACACACACAGGAGGCTCCTGCAGGGTTTAGCAATCTTATTGATTTTTTGGATTGGGTAACTAAAATTATAGATCAGGGTGGTGCAGTAGACATTGCTTACCTAGATTTCAGTAAGGCTTTTGACACTGTTGCACATAGATGGTTTATCAATAAACTGCAATCTTTAAGTTTGGATTCCAATATTGTTGAATGGGTAAGGCAGTGGCTGAGTGACAGGCAACAGAGGGTTGTAGTTAATGGAATATATTGAAGCTTGGACTTGTCAACAGTGGGGTACCTCAGGGATCTGTACTTGGACCCATTCTCTTTAATATTTTTATTAGTGATATTGCAGAAGGTCTTGATGGTAAGGTATGTATTTTTTGCTGATGATACTAAGATATGTAACAGGGTTGATGTTCCAGGAGGGATAAGCCAAATGGCAAATGATTTAGGTAACTAGAAAAATGGTCAGAATTGTGGCAACTGACATTTAATGTGGATAAGTGCAAGATAATGCATCTTGGACGTAAAAACCCAAGGGCAGAGTACAGAATATTTGATAGAGTCCTAACCTCAACATATGAGGAAAGGGATTTAGGGGTGATTATTTCTGATGACTTAAAGGTAGGCAGACAGTGTAATAGAGCAGCAGGAAATGCTAGCAGAATGCTTGGTTGTATAGGGAGAGGTATTAGCAGTAGAAAGAGGGAAGTGCTCATGCCATTGTACAGAACACTGGTGAGACCTCACTTGGAGTATTGTACACAGTACTGGAGACCGTATCTCCAGAAGGATATTGATACCTTAGAGTTCAGAGAAGTCTAAGGTATTGCAGGATAAAACTTGCAGGATAAAACTTACCAGGAAAGGTTAAAGGATCTTAACATGTATAGCTTGGAGGAAAGACGAGACAGGGGTGATATGATAGAAACATTTAAATGCATAAAGGGAATCAACACAGTAAAGGAGGAGACTATATTTAAAAGAAGAAAAACTACCACAACAAGAGGACATAAATCTTCTTAAATTAAATTAGAGGGTCAAAGGTTTAAAAATAATATCAGGAAGTATTACTTTACTGAGAGGGTAGTGGATGCATGGAATAGCCTTCCAGCTGAAGTGGTAGAGGTTAACACAGTAAAGGAGTTTAAGCATGCGTGGGATAGGCATAAGGCTATCCTAACTATAAGATAAGGCCAGGGACTAATGAAAGTATTTAGAAAATTGGGCAGCCTAGATGGGCCGAATGGTTCTTACCTGCCGTCACATTCTATGTTTCTATATAGAGCCAGGAAAACTAGTATGTTTTCCTGGCACTATAGTGGTCCTTTAAGCTAAAGTTGTTTTGGTTCTTATAGTGTCTCTTTAAATTGCCTTCAGCAGTCTGTGTCTTACTGGAAACAGAAGTGAAAGGAACAACTAAATTCTACAGAGATAATTGCATTATTACTTGCAAAATTATTTTTTTCGGAAACACGTGGATGCTTCATCATACAGACTGAGCAGGTAACGTTTCTTAGCATTGGCTGCCAATATGCATGGTTCTTGAGTAGGTGCTTGGAAGATCCCTATAAATAAGCCGTCCCTCACAATCTGCCAGGTATATTTTACAGGTAAATCTAATTAAACCAGAGGCATGGAATTACCATATTTTAATGCATTATATTAAAAAATAAATATATATGTTCTTTCATTTGCTGCAAATCAAGCTGCTCCTATTATTTTTAATGGGAGCGGAGCAATTCCTGACACAGCTGCTCAGCAGAATTTTATGGGACATCGCTGCACCTGGTTGCATTTCTATAAATCAGATAAGGTGAGTGGATCTGCTGAATCTTGCCACCCTACATTAGTTTTAGAAATGTGCATAGCATGTGTGTCGTAGTGTATTGCTGTGACATTTTCTACTGAGGGATTGGCTTATAGCTGCAGCAACTCTGGAGGGGGACTCCTTGCGTCATATACTGCACAATCATCTAGGTTGTTTTGGTGCTTGGTGTGTCCCTTTAATGAGATGTTCGCCATCTTTAATTCTACGCACTTTTTACAACCAGCAGAATCCTGTGTTCATGAGCTGCCAGTATTACGTGGCAGAGGTGCCAATACAGATCTGCCACTCAAGGGGTTAAACCGGGGCTGTGTCTTACACCTTTTTAAATTGTGCCTTTGTCTATTTAAATTCTCTGCCTATGGAAATAAATTGAAACAATGCACCAGCCAACATCTGTGACCTTTATTTAATTACTAAATAAGAGCACTTATCCAGAGGAAAAAAGGAACAGCTTTTGCATACATCAGGAATTTGTGAATTAATGAAGATGTCTGGGGAATGGAGCGTACACAATACAGAATCTTGGAATACTAATGCTAGACGATAAGCCGTGTAACGATGAAACCTTTGTGCAGAGTCGAAGCATCAGCAAATAGATTGCTATTCCTAGTGGCAGTGCAGAGTTGTATAATTTTAGCTTTGTTTCCATGGAAACTGGTTCTGCTGCAGGTTGGGCAATGTGTATTCATCCCCCCCTTCCGACACACTCCTTATATTCTCTCTCTTTATACATGACATCACTCCTAGTAAAAATCGTCCATGCTTCACCTCCCCCTGTCATGTGTGACTTCATTATTTCCACGTTCGGATCACCAGGCATTCGCATGAAAAAGGAATTGCACTCCCTGCTGATAGCGCAACCTCTAGAGTGATCCTGTCTTTCATATCTGTGTGCGTCCAGTTATTGCCTGTAATGAAGAGGGAGTAATGCATATCTCGCCAGCATATTCTACATACCAGTCTGCCTGAGATTAGTGGGAGTTACATACTTAAGCGGCTGCTGCTGACATTTTAATTCATCGGTTTCCTGTGCCGTGACCACA